TGAAAAACTTGATTCGTCACCAACAGGAGTTGGCTCAAGTGGTAAGCAACTTGATGTTTCTTAATCAAGGTTTCGGGTTCGAGTCCTTGTGAATGCACAAAACTCTTGTTGAGAGACTCACCCACCATTGTCAGGTGTGCGACCCGGGTCGACCAACGGATTAGTCGGGCAATACTCCAGATACCGTGGCTGGCTACCGAAAAAAAAAAGGAAAAAATCGTCCACAATCGTTTTGTAGGACGTGATAAGGAAAAACGAAATCTTAACACAACAATATGTATACACATTCTTTGGCCGGTTCTATAATTATATCCAACGATTATATATGCATATACTTAAATTGAAAAAGTTAGGATTGTTGACTGTAGTAGAATCACAGTCAATAATCCTAACAATTTTTTATTCTAACTCCTTACCCCAAAACACGGTTGAACCGGGCAAACAATGAAGGTGTGTACATAGAGGCATATGTCAATGTCAAGTACAAATTTTAGATCATACTTGATTTGTGGGCAAATTAACATATCATTTCAATTAAAAAATAAATAATAGTTCAAAAGGCAATTAATTAGCGATATCATAATGCAAAATTTCTATTGAGTCATCGAATGGTTGTCTTATGGAGTCATTCATCACTTAATATATTGACACTTGTCAATGTGTATTTATTGTAAGACACATGTCAATGTACTATTTGTTAAAATAAGTGTGAATTGGCTCCACACGTCGTGTCATCTGATGGCTCCATAGGAAAACTAATCGTAGTGACCCGTTTCTTATTCTATGACGAGTTTAATTACATGTGATGTTAGGGCTATTTTCTTAATGTTATTGTTTTCTCATTGATTGCATACATATTTTTAGGCCTATTTAATTGTTGGTTTTAAAGTTTTAATTGATTTTGAGATATTTATTTGGCGGGAATTGTTTTTCTGTGACTAACAAAGAAATATTTTGAACGCAAATCAAATACTTTTACACGAAGTGAAGTAAATAATGTAGATATTAAACAAATTTGATTGTGTAGGAGAATTAAAGGATTTTGGTTATAAACAGAATTAATGAAGAGTTTGATTATCACTACAAGAAAATATTTCAATTCCAACGAAAAATTCTAACGGCAGAAATTTATGTTGGAAATTTATGTTGTTAAGTAAAAATTTGAATTTTATAATTTTTGACTTCATAGTTGTTTATTGTGTTTTTGTGCTTCTTTTTATGTGTTTTATGTGTGTAGTTGAGTCGGTTTTAGGTTGGTTTTCTTGTCTAACCGGTCC